GAATCCCCTTCGCCATGAGTTGACTGAGGCTTAGTAAATTGTACCCGAGTCCCTCTGCGATCAAAACTTTCGACATTTGCAGGAAAACATTAGTATCTCGAGATTGACGTTGAACTACCCCTTGTCGTCGTGTGTGCGGGTTCTGATTGTTGGTGCCGGTGATTACGACTTCAAGATAAAGCTGTTGTTCCCGTTGAACGAAGCGACTCGAAGAACACATGTGTTGTCCGCAGCAGCTGTCCAAGAACCAGGTATAGTTCCCGGACGGCTCGCTTTGGGCGATGGCTGCGTACGTCGGATTTGGCTCTAGTGACTCGCGGCGAGGAGTACTCTCGTCGAGCAGTTCTTCTGGTGAGTAGGTCGGTGGTAAGTCGGTGACGCAGGAGTCTGTTCTTGCCACACAACTGATGATGTCTCTTGTTCCTTGTGCAGGTTGTGTCGTCGTCGTTGTTGAAGACTGCGCTTGGTTTGAGGGATGTGGCTGTGTAGGGGCCACCTGACTGCTTGAAAGTCGAAGTTGACGTCGCGGTGGTGTTGACTGCTACTGATTTGGACAGTGAATGCGGGAGTGCCCTGACGTTCGGCAGAGAGACAAAATGGTGGTACGTGTTTTCGATCGTGATGCTCGTTGTGTCGATTGTTGTTGTAGCGCCGTTGAATTTCGGTGCAGAGGGCTGCTTCGGAGATCTTCCCGTGTGCTCGGAGAATAGCTCGAGTGGAGCGCCAATAAGGACCAAGACCAATGATGACGACAGTGACGAAGGCTTCTTCGGATATCGATCCTCCGCATCGAAGGAGTCCGTCATGCAGACAACAACAGCGACTGATATACGCCAGTCCTTTTTTGCCAGGTTTTATTTCCACTGTTGTCAATTGTGCCATGAGACGACTCTGATTGACGCTGTCGGTTGTCTGATACAGGTTCTTCAGGTGGTTGTACGCGAGCTCGGCGGAGTTGCCGTATCCTCGATAAGACCGGATGTTCTGCTCTCTCTTGGCGTTATGTTGCGCAGGAGTATTGTGTATGCCATTAGCGATTGATACGTGTACTGCTGCTTGTCGTATTGTGTCCCGTGCGTTTGTAATGGCAGGAAACCGTCGAAGTAGCCGAGGATTTGAGCGCCTTCCATCATCAGCTCGAACTCAAACGACCAGGTGAAGAAGTCTTTGCCATCAAGCGGTGTTGACATTTGCAGTTTTAGGACGTGTGCAAACTGCGACCGTATCTAAAGCGCGTCTGATGTCTTTTCTAGTCCAGGTGGAGGCTGGTTTGGCATGAAGCTGATGGAGCCACGTTGAGGCAGGCTCATACGGTGCAAAGGTAGGCTGCTGCTGATTTCCGCGCGCATAGGATGAGCTGTCAAGACTCATGGGAGTAACGCCGTTGTTGTTGTCGCTGTTGTTTGATTGCGCAGGTGCTGCTTGCCAGTGTCGTTCGTAAAACGACATGAAGGAGAAGAATTTCTCCATCATGCTTGGGTCGAAGCTGGTTGCCTAGTTCACAGGAGTTTCAGTAGACTCAGCAGCTGGTCGAGTTGTGCCTCCCTTTGTCTGTAGTCCAGAGGCTGGAGGTGGAGTAGGAGTTAGAGGAACTCCTTTCCTTCTGTGTTGCCATGTCTTCTGATGTTGTAGGAGTTTAAACGGAGTTGAATCTTGCCTAGTTAGCTCTCATACCATGTTGGGATGAGAAAAGCTTTTAGGATCGTTTCAAGGCTAAAAATCTGAGTAAAAGTGTAATCGCGGAAGCGTTCTTACTGAATCGGTTGAACCACCTTGAGCTCGTATGTGAGAACGGGATGTGTGAATTATAGCAAAGTTATACAAAGCTTTTATAAGAATTACAGGGAATATGAAAAGGTGCAATTAACTGTTCCTGTTGCTGTTGCGGTTCGATACTGCGACAACTCGGGCAACTGCTAAATACCGAGTCAGTTGTGTGTATCGTCGAGTCAAAGGTCAGCGACCTTTGACCTTCGCTCAACCTCTTGCTGTTACTTTTTGTCAACCTCCTCAGTTGACTCGTTGTTGCTTCGCTGTAGTTCGCCTCGCTTACAGCTCAGTGTTTCGATACACCAGAAGCACCAACTACATGTTTCCAATATGCTCAACCGCTTCGTTGTAGTTCGCTTGATTCACTGTTGCTTGGCTGTGATTCGCTTCGCTTATGTTGTAGTGTATGACACATCAGAAGCGCGATCTATATGTTTCCAACACGTCTTGACATTTGTGTCACAAAAACAAAATACCGAAAACCCCCGTATATAGGACCCCCTCCGGTTGTAGACCCCCGGGTCTATAATACGGAGGGGGGTACTCTATTCGAGTACATCTAAGCTATACCCCCCTAAATGGCTCCTAACATTATAAGACCCCCTCACATCCTAGACAGACGCAGATCTTACAAAAAACTGCAATTGAAAATGGTCATATTCCATGTTGAAAATGGTACGGTAATATTCCATGGTCAAACGGTGCCCTGCGCTGTCGTGTGAACACGGTGTTTGTGGCCAATTGGAGGAGGCTCCCAGATAGGGTTCGTGATGACGTGGGTTCGGCCCGTGTGGAGACCAATTCGAGTATTTTTGGGAGGAGCTAAAAACGGAGCAATTCAAAATCACTTCTTTGAGCTCCAAAACTACATTCTTATAAATGTCATCTTGAAAAGACCCGGGTCTTATAAAATATAGACCATTTAATTATACCCCCCAACTTTTTGAGGGGTGATTATCATAAAACCCTAGGGTCTTAGGGTACATTCCTGTGTCGACATTTGTGTCTCAAAGCGTTTGTGACGCGTAAAAATGACATAGAACGTACAATGTCTCAAACGCGAGTCGCTTTCTAGCGACCATTACTATATTTTTTTTTGGTCAGCGTGAAACGCGCTGACGTCGCTGACGAATTGAAAACCGACGCGTCATTTTTTTTTAAATCGCATGCGGTTTGAAATGTAAATGTACCTGGTCTTCCCGAAATGCCAATTTCGTGCGGGAAAGAATCCCACGCGTCGAAACCATACCCCAGCCGCCCGGTTAAAGAAATGGGTGTATAGTAATTTTTTTCACCCAATCAAATGCGCCCAACCAAGGCCCGTGCTAGGTTTTGGGGCACCCTGAGCCCTCAGGGCACTTTTCTAGAATCCAAAAAAATGCCCTGATTTCTCAGGGCAAATCTTCAGAGCCTTCCTGATTGGTCAGGGCTTTTGCAGAAACTAATCCTGACCTGTCAGGGCAAAAATAGTAGTGTTCAGGGTTCTGATTTTATCACAAACAGACCAGACCAGACTCTGTTTAGCATAGCAGAGCAGCCGCAGCGCTGCAGCGCACATATAGTTGGTGTTTTACTAGGCAATTAACTCCTGCACCACCTCTTAGCCCTCCTCCTCCTCATCATCATCTTCGCTGCTGCTACTAAACCCACTGTCGCTGCTGCTGCCGCCGCCATGTTCAGTATCTGCTTCTTGTCCGTCCTCCAAGCCGTTCCCCTTCCCCGCCTTCCTCTGCTGCTCCCTTCTCTTAATAGGCCTCCTCTTCTTGCTGCTGCGCCACAAATCCACAACTTTACCCCATTCCATGTCATACTCAGTTAGGCTCAGGCACATCAAGTCACTGAGCCTGGCATCACAGAGGCTGGTCCTCTGCCAGGACTTAATCACGTTCTGGCGGCTAAAGCCGCGCTCACACTCGACGGTGCTGAGCGGCAGGACAGCCACCGCTGTCCAGAGGCGGACGAGGTTGGGGTAGCTCCGCACCAGGTGGTACAATGTTGGTGCCGTTTGTGCTAGCATAGGCGGGTGTGACTGTGGGAGTACGAGATGATCCAGCTGCAGGTGAACCTGTTGGTAAGGCGGACACAGCTCTAACCGGATGCAAGAAATCTAATCCGGTTAGACCCCGTGATACTGGCGCCGCGCCATCGTCCTCGTTTGCCATCATCCAGCCGAACTTCATCACTAGTGCTGCTGCTACTCTAACAGCAACACTGCAAGGGTGTTGGATGGAGTGCTACTGAACGTCAGCGTGAGAAACCCAGCTAGAGCTAGCCAGGCAGAGGACGAGTTGCCTTGGCGGTGGGTGATGGGGTTGGCTTGGCTTGGCTGGCGTAGCGGGAGATCGGAAATGTCAAGGGGAAGAGAACGTGCGAAGGCGGGAAACATACACGGGGGAAAATTTCATCGGAGACAAAAATCCTCGGGGAAAAAATTCCCTCCGAAACGGAACACCCCCCATTACCCCCCCCCCTCCCCCCGCGCGCAAAATCTGCGTCAGTGCAGGCCTCGACATTCATCCTGACGCTACAGGGAAGAACACTACGGCCATCCTGAAACTCCAGGGCATTTCACATAAAAACATCCTGTGACCTCAGAATTAAAATTATGACTATTCTGAAATTGCAGGGTAAATACAGAAGTGCATCCTGAATTCAGGGTAATCAGGATGTTTTGCCCTGATAACGTGGGCCCTGCGCCCAACTGTGCATTTCGCATGGTCGCCTAGTTTCGCGGTACATAGATTTTTTTTTACGCGAGATTGACAATTTTTTTCGACGCGACTCGGGAAAACGGGGATTGCGACATAAATGTCGACACGGGAATGTACTCTTATATACGGGGAATTACGGTATCGCTCCGTACCAAATCAAACCGCTTTGTTAAAACGTTGGTACGAACTTGGTACCGAACGGTACCTTGTCTTTGTGACACAAATGTCACGATAGGAATGTACCCTAAGTTTCATTGTTACCAACATTTATCACAACAAAAATCTCTACATCATTGAAGGAACACATTGTGCAAGACTTGTACTTGTATCGCGAACCACACAACAGAGTGTTGTCCTTTGTGTCGTTCCTGAACCTACCATAATTCCATAAAACAAACATTTATCATAAACGTAACACCCAGCGAGTGTAAGTTTTCGAAGTCGAAAATGTAACACTCCCCTCCCCACCTTCCCCACCCTCCTCACCACTCTCCCTCCCTCTCCTTCCCTCCTCCTTCCTCAATACAACCTTCCTCGGCAGTCAGCAGCACCACAGCAGCAGTCCAAGCGCTTCACCTTACCATTCTCATCCATCACGCTGTCAAGCTCGTAGTTGTAATCGTAGGTGAGTTCCTGCATTTCACGGCAATGAAGAGAAAGAGGGAGAGAGGAAAAAAAAAAGAAACATGTCAAGCTAAGCCCAAAGTTGGAACTTAGTCATCAGGAGCACATTGACAACATTTGGAATCAGGGTTAAACAAAAAAGAAACCTTTTTAACCAAGTCTGAGTTTTTGGGATATTTTTTTCCCAAGCCTGATTGCCAGGCTGATTTTGTTTTATGCTCTGTCTGAGAGTGGATGGAGAGAGGAATAGCGGAATTTGGGTGTGACGAGACAAACGCAGGGAGGGAGTGGTGAGAGGAGCAGGGGTTTTGGCAGGGAGGGAGTGGTGAAAGGAAGAGGGACTTGGGCAGGGAGGGGTTGAGAGGAAAGAGGGACGTGGGCAGGGAGGGAGTGGTGAGAGGAACCGATGAACTTGGGAAGGGAGGGAGGGGTGACCACTCTAATGCGCATAGCAAGAACCTGCAAGGCCTGAAATACCGTAACCACCCGGACATACCACCCGCCGAAATTGAAGACCCCCCGGGTGGCTTGTGCGGGGTGGGTGCAATAGCAGACCTCGTTTCTACTATACCCCCCTTCTGAGGTGATTTTCTATAACACCCCCCCTTCTTCCAAAGTTTCTAAGTGTAGCTGTTAGCGAGTACTGCAGAACATAGCGGAAATCACTTCCTCGATGAAACTATATAGTAATTTCGACAGAATCTGCCGAAATCACCCCCCTCCCTCTTTTACGCTGCTGCCACGCTGCTAGATTGTTAGGTAAAAAAGGTGCCACCTGACAATTTCAAGGGGGGTGAAAAAGTTCTCGCCAATACCCACATTCTCGCTTCTCGCTGTGAATTAAACCGATTCTAAAAACACCCAAGTTGTCATTGCATCAAAATCATAACACAAAAAAATACTGTATAAAAAGACCCAGATGTTATGTAGCTTTTTCCCATGACAAGACCCTCCCCCTTTTTTTGCTGTAGTCATCATAGCACCCTAGGGTGGTATGTCCGGGTGATTACGGTAGTGACAAAATAAAAACGCAGAACCAAGAGGGAGTAGGAAGAAGAAACAACTGGACTTACAGTGTGGACAAGAAGAGGAAAGAGGTTGACGGATCAAAAGGAGAAACGGAGGTGATGCTTCTTACTGTGAGAGGAGGAATGTTTTCGGAGGCGACGAGCAGGAGGTGGGAGAGCTCAGGGCGCTTGTGGTCCCAGAGGGCGGACTGATAAAAGAGGTTGGGCGAGCAGCTATGGTTGATGAAGCGCGCCACGTTGCCACGCCGCAGCCCGTCGATGGCGTAGTGCACCTCCTCGTGCCCCCCCCCCTCCTCCAGCGCATGCTCCAAGTCCTCAAACATGGGCTGCAGAAAGGGGGAGAACACAATGAGCGGGAAACCCAGACATGTCATAAGAAACCATACCAGGAAACCTGAAAAATGGGGGACACTCGTAACAGTTCTATGAGCATGCGCTGCTTGTGGCATGCACTGCTTCTGGCATGTGCTGCTTGTGGCATGCGCTGCTTGTGCCATGTGTTGCTTGTGCCATGTGTGCTTGTGCCATGTGCTGCTTAGCGCATGTGGCATGCGTTGCTCGTGGCATGCGTTGCTTTTGGCATGTGCTGCTTGTGGCATGCGCTGATTCTGGCACGTGCTGCTTGTGAAATGAGCTGCTTTTGGCATGTGATGCTTGTGTCATGCGCTGCTTGAGCCATGTGTTGCTTGTGCCATGTGTGCTTGTGCCATGTGCTGCCTAGCGCATGTGGCATGCGCTGCTCGTGGCGTGCGCTGCTTGTGGCATGTGCTGCTTGTGCCATATGCTCCTTGTGGGATGTGCTGCTTGTGCTATCTGCTGCTTGTGCCATGTGCTGGTTAAGGCATGTGCTTCTTCTGGCATGCGCTGCTTGTGGCATGCGCTGCTTCTGACATGTGCTGCTTGTGGCATGTGTGTGGGTGCGTGGATTCACGACTCTCAAGTCATACCTACAACGCATCTTGCCCCAATGTTCGGGACAAAGATGCTTTTGCCAGAATATCATCTTGCATTGTAACCTGCATCTACCTTATAAGCTTCGGTTACAGATAGACACCCAAAGTGCCGGTGTGGTTGGCTGCTATGGTGTTCGTGGTTCCCGTCCGTAGCATAGGAAGAAATGAGTTTTCCCGTCCGCATGCGAGGCGTTGTTGTAAGCAAACTCTAGAACTGGTAAGTGTGTATCTCAGTGGCTGATGTCATCTCTGCAAGCTGTGCGCAATAACTGTTCAACCACCTGATTGAGTCGCTCTGTTTGTCGGTTAGTCTGGGGGTGGAATGCTGAAGACATCGCAAGAAATCCCTCAACCCACGGGTGGTACGTACATCTCTGCCCTGCGTGCCGAGCTTGGCGGTGCGCACAGTGTCGATGCTGATGACATACATGTCATCCTCCACGTGGTTCACCTGCTCGTACGGCAGCACGTCTCCCACGTACTCGCACACCACCGCCCCCGCTGGGATGGGGTCCCATGACCGCACCGCCCACCCCTTGTGCGCCGTCTTGTACACCTGCGAGGGAGTGTGCACAGAAGTCAACAGTTCATCATATAAAAGACTACTCAGACAGCATAATGAGTGAGTGCTATTAGATGTATCTTGCGGCAAGGATTGGTGTGCATGATCAAATTAGACCAAAACAGAAGAACACGGAAGGAGCACCCTCCAACGGTAAGACGAAATTACCTCGAGACGGAAGCGCAGCCCCAGCTGGCCGACCCTGTTGATGCAGGCTGGGCCGCAGCCACACGAGGGGCCACACTCCATCACGATGCCGCGTGCCTTGACCAGCCTGATAGACATGTGAGGGTGCACACGTGGATATCTAAAACCAGTGGACGGTTCGAATAACTTCTGATACTTCTAAGAACTTTAAAATTGAAGAGATTGCTCTTTCCACCAATTCCATACTACTCACAGATACCGACTCCCAAGTGGGTGAATTTACCTGCTAAGCAGAAAACGCCATCTGCACCCAGTGAGCATCCGAGCTGGGCCAGATACCAATGGTCAAATGGGTGGAAGATGAAACAACAGGGGCCTAAGTCCAAGACCACTCGCGGCTCGCCTGGATCCCTTGCACTTAAACTTGGTACTTGATTTCCACCTAGCAGCCAAGAACTTTCAATATTCCCCACCCTTATGTTCAAGAAATGGATTCACCTGCATCCATCCACATGTGCTTGTGTATTTTTTCAGAGTTGCCAATGCCTGTTACACATGTACCCCGTATGTCCGATCATTTCGTCCAATACAGATTTGACCAATAAGTTTGCACTCTTCCATACCACCCTTTTTCGTATATTTCTTGCCAAAAACAATTTGCTGTCACAACTCTCGAAAGGCAGCAGATGAGAGAGAGGGTAGCGAGCAAAGGAAGGCCCCAGAGCACCTACCTTCCCCCTCGCACGTAGGGAAAGCCGTCGCGGTTCCTCCTGGCACACGCGCACTCGCTCTCACTCGTGCACGCCCCCTCGCACTCGCACTTGTGCGCCCCTCCCTGCAGCTTGAACCCCTTGGGCATGATGCGCTTCGTCACGTACTCAAATGCTGAACCGGTTGCCATACCGGCAAGAGGGAGGGAGGGGGGAGGAGATGGCAAGCGCAAATGAGTTGAGAAGCGATGTGGTTAGAATCGACTTGCAAACAGTTCAACCTGAACCGAGAATCAGAGGGCGAACCAGAGGGTGAACCAGGGGTTGAACTAGGGGGTGAACCAGAGGGTGAACCAGAGGGTGAACCAGAGGGTGAACCAGGGGGTGGACCACGGGGTGAACCAGGGGGTGAACCAGGGGGTGGACCAGGGGGTGGACCAGGGGGTAAACCAGGGGGTGAACCAGGGGGTGGACCAGGGGTTGGACCAGAAGTTGAGCCGGAGGGTGAACAGAGAGTTCGCCCTCTTTTCCTCCACTCCCTCCCCTTACCACTCTTACCACTCTTACCAACCTTACCACCCTTCCCACCCTCGCCCTTCTGTGGTCCGCTCGATGGCGCACTATCTCCACCTGTAGGGGGTAACGGCAACTCCCGCCCATGGCACGACCCTTCTGCTCTCCGCTCGCGGGGGAACCTTGATTATTTTGACTGACTACTTTGAGTTGCAAGCTGAGCCGGTTAGATTTCAGTTCTTGCTCATGTCTACCAAAAACCACACAGGCAGTAAAACCACCGCATGAAAAGCCACACCCTACCCATTCCCACCTTCCTTCCTCCTGCTCCTCCATCTCCTCTTCATGCCCCTTCCCCTTTAGGCCCACATCCCCTACCAGCATCACACGATGATGCTGTCATGTAATCAGATGTACTATGGAGAGGGACAAGCTTGCTGATTCCAGATATGGAAGGGATAACACGATAATGACATCTCCTTCAGCATGTTCTGTACCGTACTCATCATTCGAAGATCTGTCCACCACGCCGTGACCTAAAAAAACGTTTAGAGTACTTTGTTCAAGTTCTGGGAAACCATGTTGCAGAATGTGTGTACTTATATTTCAATTACCAGGAGGCATGGTGGGTGGTTTGTCGATGCAATTGGTGACGGTTACAGGCAGCCTCTCCTTGCCCTTTGAGAGGTCTGCGCAAACAACACTGGCGCAAACAGGTGGTTCAAACATCATTTGCGTCAGTCAATGTGTAGTGACACTAAGGGATATCAATGCAGCAGCAATACGCTCCCATCCTGAGCTCTACTCACATAGGATAAAAGCACAATCTTTCATTTCATGGTGCCAAGAGCCAGGTGAATGATATTCAGTGCACATGCAGAAGATGTAAGGAGTTTGTCCCAAAGAGGGCGTGGGCTTACTTTGATGCTTTCTTCGCGCTCGTTGGGATCTGGCCGCGCATGAAGCGAACCTGAGGTGCACAAGTGCCAGCAAGCGTGGTGCGATACTAATAAGTAGGATGACGTGAAGAATAAGAAGCAATCGAGGCAAGGAAAACAGGGCTTGAGCAAAGTTGCGAACCCCCATTCGCTTCGTCACGAAGTCGTTCGTAACGAATAGAACGAGGGTTTATTTTGGCAAAAAACGTTCGTGACACACGAGCCCCGTTCGTCAAAACTGACAAGTAGTTTTTGTATGTATAAGCCAACCTCGACATTTGAAGGACATTACACAAGCGGATCACATCCAGGAATTTAGATGAGACGGTTACGTTAGTGTCTGAATGATGAGTCACAACGTTGATGCATGTCTTGGTGGAGAGGTACATAAGGTAGAATGAAGAGAGAACCTTCATTGAACTAAATATAAGCAGCATCGACCCGACCAGAATTTGCACAATATCAACTAGCCCTACTTGGGTCAGTCAACTTGTGGTCGGGTTGAGAACCCGACCTGGCCTAGAGGACAGATCGGGTGAACTCAAGCTACGGAATTAAAACGATCGACCTACCATCTTCACCATCTATCTGCGCGGATCAGTGCACTCAGCCTGTCTATCTGAGTGGACCAACGATTTAAATCACTGATCCACAAAGGTTGTGCACCACAAAGATCTTTATTGCTCGGGCTAGGTCATGGGCTGATCGAGTCCAATGGGGCGAAAGGACCCAATGAGTTAGTCAGGTCTCGGTTCGACCCGAGCAAAGCCAGACCCCACATGGTTGGGCGGGGCCGTTGCACAGGCAAACCGACCTGGCCAACAACCTTTTCTGGTCAATCTGTTACTCTGTAAAGAGCACCAAAGTTGAGGATGGGTTGTACGAATGCAAGTTCTCTACACACATCAAACTCACTAGCTCACAGGCTTGAGCAACTGGCCGGGGCGGGTCGGGTCGACCTGGGGCGGTGATGATGATCTGGGCAATTCGAGTCAGCTTTTTGAGACCGGATCAGGTAGAACCGGGACCCGAGGAAAAAGAATAGACTGAGTCGAACACACCAATCCACTCAGCTCGTCAACTGAAACTGCAGATGCAGATTGACGACTCAGCCTGCTACACATGGCGTTTTGTCCCACCCTTTCTACGCCCACAAAGCCCCCTTCCTGCGCGAGGGGCCCACCCTGTTAAGTGCGCAACACTCCCTTGCTTGCCACGCCTGGCATAAATGTGCAAGTCCTATGCCCTGACTCAAGGTCGGGTCAGGTCTTGCCTGCTTGCTTGGTATACTGGAAAACACCAAGATCACGACAATGGTAACATTGGTACAATTCTCCTATTGTCGATCGTTTTGGTCCATGATAAGGAGAGGTCGGTCAGAGTCAATTTTTTTTCCGGGTCGGCTAAAAACCGTGACGCGTGCAACATGAGCTGCACAATAAATCGCTAGGCTGTGTTATTGCAGGGAGAAATTCTACGAGCTGGGGGTCGGGTCGGCTTCTTAAAGGTACTTACCCGGTCCAACCCGGTACCGGATCTGGGCAGGGCAAAACGGGTCGGAACGGGATGGGTAAACCCGTTGCCCATGTCTTTGAAGAAAAGTGTGACGATTTCGATATGTCCCAAAACAAGTCTCACCACTTGATCCTTTACAACCCAGCCACCGGTCAGGCCGTGACTCCACCCCATCTCAGCTCACTTCACATCTCACAATCCATTTACACAAGCAGACTCAGCTACCGGCAAGAAATATCGTCCCACCTCATTGTCAACGAGAGCTGTGTGTCGGCCCCGTCCTCGCTTGGGTGGACGCAACTTTGTAGTCGGGTGTGCAGGGAGTGCAGCCAACCGACTGCAGTGGGCGACGCCAACTTGGGCGCGCAGGTTAACGGGCTTGGTCGACCTGCACGAGGCCACTGCGAAGCCGCCGACGACGGGGTGCCGGCGGCCGACTTCTACGGGTGGTCGACGACGGGGTTCGTCGACCTGGGAAGGGCATCGACTTGGTTTGCGCCAACTTTGGAGGTCGCCCTAGCGAGGTCGACCTGGAAGGACGTCGACTTGGTAACGTCGACCTGGGGAAGCTGGCTGGGTGCGTTCGGCGACTAGTAGGCCTGGTCGACCAGAAGTGGCCGACCTGGGGGAGTGGTCGACTAGGTGAAGTCGACAGAGGGTGGTCATCGACCTGGGTGGCCGACGGGCACGAGAAGCCGCACTTGGTCGACGTGGTTGCCCGGTCAACCAAGTTACCCGGGCGACGAGGTTCTGCGGAGGTGAGCGACAGTCGCCCAGGAGGTTTTGGCGAAGCAGATTTTGGAGGTGGTATTCCGAGGTCGACGTGGCTGATCAAGCGCAGTCGTTGGCACGTGGTCGGATTAGCGTCCACGTTGTGCACGTGACGGGGCACAGCACGCTAAGCAACTGCAAGCACCTGCAAAGAGGGTGCGTTGCTGTCATGCGGGTGCAATGCTGTGCAGCCGACTTGCTGCAGCGTTGAGACGCCGTCGACTTTCAACGTTGGCGAGCCGCCTTTCTATAGCGCTGGAGCGGTGCGGCCGACTTCTACAGGCGGTCGACCGTGCTGTGCTGGAAGTCGACCTGCTTGTATGCTAGACAAGCTCGCTTGTGATGAAGTTAGCCTTGCCAATGTTGTTGCTATCATTTTGTAATGCAATCTTTGCTAGTGAAACTCTTGCCAACTTTGTCTCCCCTCCTGAATGTGTGAGTAGAGTAAGCACCAGCAAACGTTAAGGAACGCTACGATCATTGTCACAACTGTGCCTTCCCCGTAGTCTAGCTCCCGTTGTGGTAGTCACTTATTGCATCCCAACCTATCTAGAGCCAACCAGCAGCCAAAATTCACAAGCCCACAATACATCCACAATCTGTTGTCACTCTCCAACAAATCCTCAATTTTGTTTTCAGCCTACAGCTTAACCAGTATTCATACCCTTACATGGCGAGACATGTCTGTCTTGACCCGAAGACAGCTCAGCCTTACATGCCGCAAGCCCCGTGCTCATCGTTACCGATTCTGAATCGTCACACCCAACGAAGATGACCACTCAACGACTTGGATTAAACATGGGCAGCAGGTATTTGACCGGACCCGACACGTACCCATTTAGGATGACCCAGGACGGGAACGGGTCGGGTCGAGTCGACTTTCCTTGGGTCGCTGCGTGCTGCTGCCTGAGCTCCCGCAGCTCCGCGCACTGCTCTCTGCAGCCATGCATGCTCCTCTCTGCAGTTGCGTGCTTCACGCGCTGTGAGGCGGACGTGCGATCATTAGGGTTTCCGCACGACTCCTCGGCGCGCACTGCTCGCCACAGCGGTGTGACCAGCAGCGACGCGCGCTGCCCTATGCAGTGGCGTGCGGCTGCTGATGCACCGGGATTATGCGATCTATGGCTGGTTTAGGGCGGAATGCCTTGATTTAGGCAATGAAGTGGCTAACTGTACTAGAAGTACTTAAGCTTAGACATGACCCTAAACGTACTCTTACTAAGGTAGGTCGCGAATAGATCAGAAGATTGGGGTTCGAAATGTCGAGCGAAGTTGGCGGGTCCCATTCGACCTGCCAACGGTTGGGATTATCTCAACCCGTTTGTCTATTCATGACCGGTAGTGGGAACGGGTTGTTCCACGGAAACGGATCAAACGGGTCAGCCCGACCCTTCTAATGGGCGTTAAATGGGTTGCGGGTCGACCCGACTTGACTCGTCCGGGACAGGTCGACCCGTTTCGACGGGTTGGCATGACTTGACAATCCGACCCGACCAAGCAAAAAGGGCGGGGCGGGTCGGGCCGAGGGCCTTATGCCCATGTCACAACTTACTAAGGTTCTCGTACAGTCCAGTTCACATAAACTAAACTGGCTTTATAGAAATACAACTATTCAACATAGCTTCCATTTTCAAGCATCCCGTGGAATATTCTGAAAATAACACAATGGGTTGTGCACATGGGCGAAAAGGTGGAACCTGGTCAGTTGTGAGAGGCGGCTGGTCGGGGTTGCGAACGAGAAGGAACTTGTAGACGAAGAAGCCTTGCTCGCCACGCACATACTGATGTTGCTTCACCTGTTGTGGTTACAAGGATGCAGAAAAGTGAGCATGCGCCACCATAAGAACGGTATAGTTCTTAACGTGATCTCAGATTGTGAAAAGGTAAGCCAATCAACATGATACGAAAACGTGTGAGCCAGCTCAAGCAAAGGGGAAGAAAGAGAGTCAGAAGGTGACAAGGGCTGGTCCACGTGAATCCAATAGCCGCAAGGTGTTGAAATGGGGGTGCAGCCGGCCCGGGTCAAACCAGGTCAGGCCAGCCAGCCACCGAGTAAAGGCAAATTCAAACCGGCAGGGTTGACATTGTTTTATGACCGGCCGTAGCTTGGCGCAATTCTGCAAACTGACCATGTTTCCACCCAAATGGTGAGTGATTCGTTGCTGGCCGATTCAATTTTGGTGCATCCTCCAAATGTTTTCCAAACCGGTGGTTGATAAGACCTACTTTATTTCTTAACCACTAGAATCTCGAGCAATAATACACTTATTTAGCCATTTGCTTAAGTTCAGTTTGACTTAAGGGCGTACTTCAGTCTGTGTCAAGATTAATGTTTGTGTCATCCGAGATTCTTGGAATCCAGGCATTCCAAATGCGGAATATTCAGATGTGCCTGGAATCGGTCTAGGTTCATGGTTCCAACAATCTCGGATGACACAAACATTACTCATGACACGAACTGAAAATACGCCCTAACCGAACCGTGTAAGTGGGTTCGATCGAAATGGTTTGGGTTCGATTCAAGCTCATGTTAAATCAGCCAAGCGTTTCTGGTAGGACAACATCTATTGCAGCCACTTCATGAGTTATGGATAGTTGCAAGCAAGTTGGTTGCTCGGGTGTTAGCAAATGCCATGTAGGCTTCCTGCACAATGTATTCCTCACTCACTGTTGATACGTGCTTTGTCTGCCAGTCGTACGAAAATGAAAAGCTGATGACATTTCATGCTATTTTAACATGAGCAACACCTGCCTGTTACTCAGGTGGACCCACGAAGCAACCATATCAGCTATTAAAGACAGACCCACCTTGTAAAGCCCATCGTATGTGAAAGCCCGTCCGATGCTTGATTTCTTGCATTTGTGCCCTCGAATGACTCTCACATCGTTCTTCACCTTAATGCTATTCTGCAACCACCGCAAGCGCACATATTTGGAGAAAGAAACGCAAAACATAACCAAATCAAAATCATGAAGTAAACAACATATAAATATGCCTATATATGCAGCTTGTTTTTAAACCTCTTCACTTTCAAAAACAAAAGGTAGCATCTCACCACCTAGTCAAACTGTGGTGCACCTGACGGACTCTCAAGCCAAGCACCAAAGTATCATTTGTTTCTACCTAACAGAATTTCTGCAGATTTGAATCAAACGGGACAGATTTGATCTATTCGCCATAATGGTTTGACTCTAGCAAACTGCACCGTCACATTGAGGCGTACTCTCAATGTGGCTACCGTCAAATTGTGATGGAGAACAAAAGCGATTGACCCGGTTCTGGTTTGAGCGATACCATTCCGGGTCAGTTAGACAATAGGCTGCTAAGGCACGTTGAACTGGTGCAGTTCGGCACAACTTCGGTTGGTGGAAGTTGAAGCTCATTTTCTAGCTCTAACTTTCTTCACAGACTGATTGAACATCCCTCCTAAGCACTGCGAGACTAGGATTTCGCGGCCAAATCTGCATGGTTCTTAAATAAAGATAGAAGAGTGATGTCATAGCGTTTGTGTTTACAACAAAGGCATACTCAAGTCGAACCGGACCGAACATGCTCGGGTAGAACCACAGGCAATTTGACCCAATTTCTAGCGGTTGCTGATCAGCAGCATAAGATCACATTTTTGAGTTCTTTGACCTAGATATAACTGGTCTGGTTCGGACTTTGGGTTCGACAATTGACCCGGTTGGACCTGAACCTGTTTGGATTCGAAACTTGCACGTGCCTACTCAATAAGGCTTCATCCGACCACAAGCATTTGCAGCATCATGTGTTGATGTATGTGAGGGCGGATATGAGCAACGAACCGATATTACGCTCGCTTGGCTCTATTCGAACAGGTCAATAAGTTAGCGGCGGACCGACAAATGTTTGAGGTTCTCCCGCACCGCGTCGAAACCGGACGGTTCGATTCGACACGTTAAAAAGGGTGACGGACCAAGGTTCATTGCGCGGAGATCTGGTGCGCCACTCGTTAACTGACATAGGGTTAGGGTTGGAAGTCATTTGACATAGCAAATCCAAACATAGGTTAGTTCAGGTTTCTATCTTTATCTCATACACTAACTCCCACTCACATTAGCAAACCGCATACCCACCCACTTGCATCTAGGCTTGAGCATGAGGCCAATCGGTTCGGGTCGACCCGACCTAACTCGGACTTTTGCCAGGGCGGATCGACCCGGCCGGGTTGGGTCGACTCATTGGGCCGGGTCAAGCCTGGTACTGACCCATTAGTGACCTAACTCGGTCGGAATTGGGACAAAATGGCGTAAATCGGGTCGGGTACTAGCCCAACCCGGTTATCTAAGGTGGGATACGAATGGTAAAAACGCTAAAGGCATGTACTACAGGGTGTGTGTTATAGGCCGATGGAGTTAGGCTGAGCTCAATGTCGGAAGATCTCTAATGGGTGAGTGGAAGGGTTAAAGTCTTGTAGATCCCGTGCTGTAATGAGTGGTGAGCAGTGGCGATTTTGGTTGGCAATGTTTGTTTCAAAACATTTGCTGGGGATGAGGGGTGCCTAGGTATGAGCAGAACCCCAATCTGCACAAATTGGTGGCGAAATCACAGATCCGTGCAGATCGGCAAGCGAAAGCGCGGTTTTGGGCAGAGCGAGGGCAAACGCGTTTATTTTGTGCCCGACCTGTTCTTCAAGGGCGGGTCAGGTCAGCATTTCAGAAACGTCGGCCCAGCAAGACACGGCCCGACCCGACGCGGTACCCGCCTGGCCCACTCAAATCGGGTCAGGTCGGGGTGGGTTTGGTCGGTTGCTCATGCCTACTTGCATGTGGGCTTAGGGCGAAATTGAAGGTAGACTCTAAGAACTGTTTTAAGCAGTTTCAGCAGCATTCTGTTGAGGTATTTAATTAAGAAACATTTAGCTCAACATCTTCCGATTTAGCGCACACATGGTGACATCAGGCAGGGCTGGGGATGGGATGGGGTCGTGAGAAAGGGGCCTAAGCTTATGTGGGGCACCAGATGCTCTCATTATAACGCAAGCCACCGACGTTTTTTGGATCTCTTGGCTTCTGAATTTTCTTGTTGTCTACTGATGTTTCATGCTCGTGTGCACATATCCATAACCCTTAACCCCGCACAATAGGTTGATGAAAAAGGGGGAGAACCCAACTAAGTTGAGTTAAGCTGAAACTTGAAAAGTTCGACCAAACTAAAAAACAAATCGGTAACTTAAAGGCAAACATCGACCTTAGCCAAGCAACACAACGTTTGCCAAACAGAACAGGTTTATACAAGTTTGGGCCGAACCTGTTCGGGTATTATTCCAGCTCATGTCCATGTGGGGGTTTCTAAAGCATACCATGAGAGCCAGGTTTCCAGCTCGCAGACTTTGATCGGCCACTTGCTTCCGTGTGCCCAGAAGGTCGTTGCCACCCTGCCCGGTGTACCAAATGCGGCTCGCTTCATCCTTGTCGTCTTCGTATCCTCCAGACACCACCACAGCCACTGCGATGGACTTGTCAAAAGGGCTCTCCTGTTGGGCAAAGTCAATGAATGCATCGCAAGGGATGTCATACCATACAGGACGTTAGGCATGCCGCATGAGCATAGTATCGAACAAAGATCTGGTTCACTCGGGCCTCTAATATTATGGTGCAGAAACCTAGACATTTAGAGCACCTGATAGGAATTGGAGCTCTATTTGTGGTCAGATCTGTGTGCATGGGAGATCAAAGAAGCCGGCTGATCAGTATTTCGCATTTTCGCAAACTCTTACTAATCCGCTTGAGCATTAAACCAACCCATTTTGCTCGATGTGAAGCGGGTACGAGTCGAGTCAGGTTGACACGACGACGAGTAAGGACAGAGGGAAGCCGACCCGACCCATGCTCATGGGGCAGTCGGCTATGACTAGGGTTGAGAAAGGGCGAACACTCACACCCGGCGACTAATTGAACCTCTTGGTGTTGGGCCGAACACCTCCTACGAAATTGGATGTTCGGTGTTCGCCTCTGAGAGCAAACATCAAGGTGTTCGCCTCTGAGAGCAAACATCAAGGTGTTCAGCCCGAACACCAACATATTCGTGTTTGTTTATTAGGCTTATTCCGTCACGCTCTTTTGTCAAGATCGAAACACACTTTGACCCCCAATGTGCATTAACCAGCCACCTTTGCAGCTGATCTGTGCAACCAAGGTTTAGAAATACGGTAAATGTAAATTACGGCTTGTAAATTACGATCGTAATTTACGGTGGTTTTGACAAAAATACGGTCGTTTTTAAATGGATTTTTTTTGCAGCATTTTTTTCTCACCAGAAACTTCAAGAATGATTACAACGATGACTAGGAAGGCGACAACAAACTACACTACAGAGAAACAAGCCTATAATGGACCACTATACCACTACCATGGCTAAGCCTGCCTAGTAGTATCTACCTTTAGGCACATCGTCTCCTACTCCCTCCCCACACTATGCGGGAAAAAACACACCCGCGTGGATTTGGGCACACGAAACTTCTCACAAGCAGGGTGACGGTGGGGAAATGTCGAAATTCGCTAGACACAAACTCGGTTTCAAAATTTCGGTCGTAATGTACGACCGTATTTTTTAACCAACATAATTTTGCAGGGTCGAACCGTTTTTTACCGTAATTTACGACTGTAAATTACGATGCAACTGACGGGTTTGGTTGGGTCGGGTCCCCCAAGGTCCATCATTTCAGATTGCAAATCCGACGCAGCAGCCTTACAAAGGAGGGTCTTTTATGACTTGCCTCCGTGTCGGTTCAACCCAGAGGCGGGTCAAGTATCTATACCCCCTTTCCCCTGCCAGTCTAAGCAGATCAGCGATTTTGCCTGCCAAATTTTGCAAATCGGCAATTTCGCCAATCACTGAGCAAAGCCAGTCACTCCTTCCGACGAAATTAATGAAATGAAAGTTCCCATTTAACTCACTGCCACTTACCACTCATCACCGCGCTGAATCCACAAAACCCAACCCCCATATGTTGTAATTCTTAATTTTGTACAACATCCATAATCTAGAATTAGAAGTGTACCTGCCTTATGAGTTTGGGGGTGGTTTGGTGTACCATGCAACCACATTTTGTGGTTGGCGAGAATTGATCCTCTCCAACCAATCCCAACCAACACACGTATCTAGTTGCTTGAGTCACAAGCAAGCTCACCCACTGTCCAATTTCAGCGGCTAATATGGTAGCATCTCTCTCATTCCTCTCTTGCTACTTGCTTGTACTAAAGAGCTTCTTGGCTCCTTACTCAATTCATCAATTTTATCTTCTCTAACACCATACACCCCAACATGTTACCAACATCAACATTGAGCACAGCCCAATCACCTTCATATCGAAATGCTTTCGACACAATTGGGCTCGGGCATGTATCCGACCCTCGGTCAACCTGACAAAGCATAAAATGATAGATTCGGGTCTGTGGTCGATCTGGCCCGGCCAGGTATACCAGGCCCGACACGACCGGGTCGGCATTTGGAAAAGGTCTGCCCAACCTATACCCGGGTCGATTGTCTATGGGCGTATCTTGCTGCTTGTTCGACTGACTATGCATGACAAATGCTAGCGTGATTTAGCATTGCTTACGGCTTTAGGAATGATGTCAATGCCGTTGAGCCAATGCCTGTGCAAGCCCACCGCAACCATTTCGGCTCGAGCAAAGAAGCGATCGCCCACACGCACACCTGCGCAACAACGGAGAGTCATCAGGATTGAACAGTGGTGCCACCTCATCTTGCTACTTTGTTGATCAGGATAAGGGTACACTCTTGGCTCGTGCTAGACACGAGGTTGGAGGCTTAAATTAAAAGACACAAAGTCAGTCAGCTTGTGTCTTCCGAACATTGCTTTGCCTTAGTTTCTAGTCACTTTAAGTTTTTCGAGCTTCCACTTCGTGTCTGACCTTATGTCTGACACGAGCCAAGAATGCACCCTAAGTATGTTTAGGGAATTCAAAGTCGAGCAGAAGGTCGAACCTCGGTTTCAACTAGAATTAATTTGAGCCAAACCAAACCAGTCGCAACACGAATTGATCAACCTATTCGAGCCGTACACGCCAAAGCGTGAAACCCAACCAGTTTCACGTGCTTTCGGACCACATCAAGGCGGTCGCAGCTCGCCCACCACATCAATCCATCCTCGTAATCTCCACCAGGACTCCTTCCTTATAGCCATTTCCCTCCATCCGGATAACCACACAATGTATTCCACATACCGAGAACACAACGAGGGGAGGCCGAGACGAGCCTGAACCACTTCAACCCAAACAGCACGTGCTTTGAGTCGAACCGAGTTCAGCCTTAGCAAAGCCAGTTTCTTCCAATGGTACAAGTTCAAGTTCGACCCATGGTCGTGCGGATTCAATGCTTGAATAGCTCTCTTCTTCGGAAGGAAACGACGAGCACCACAATTCTTATGAATGAACACAGGACGAACCAAGGTGAATGCTACGCCTGCCCAGGTGGCCCGGCCTTGCGTGCACTTAGACATGAGCAGGTGCCCCGCTCGGGTCGGGCCGACCCGACCTGACCCGTGGTTTTGGGCGGGTCGGGTCAATGTTTCTGGATCCCTGCCCCGTACGGGCCGACCCGACCCGACCCGGGGTAAGACCCGACCCGAGGGTACATTTCGAGCCGGGCCGAGGCGAGCCTCGGGTCGGGCCTGACCCGACCCAATTTCGGGCCTAAATTGTTGAAATCGGGTCGGGCCAGGTGCACGACCCGAGGCGCGACCCGATTTCGACAGGGCTACGGCCGAAACCCTAGCCCAAATGTAAATCGATCGAGGGGATTTTTTCCCCTTCGATTTACATTCGATTCGCCACGCCAGCAGCCCCTAGCCCTAGAGTATTAAGTACCCCCCACTAAACTACCTCGTACCTTAGGCATCACCCCAGGAATGCACACACATACTATCAGTAACATTCATAGATAAACGATTTTGGCTGCACTTAGTATATTTCGCGCTGGTCAAATTCGTAGATTTTAGGGTTTTCAGATTGTACAAGAGAAATTGTACAAGTCATGAAGAACACCCTCAGCCCCCTAAAGGGGCGGGTCTGTCTGGCCCGACCCGGCCCGACCCGAACTCGGGTCACCTCCGACCCGAGTCAGTAGGCCCGGGTCGGGCCAGTTGTTTCATGAGTCTGGCCCGAGCCCGGCCCGACCCGACCCGACCCGACCCGAGGGCCCGTGTGGCCCGGCCAAATCGGGTCGGGTCGGGTCGGGTCGGGCCACATGCTCAACTGTGCACTAGAACCTGTGAAGGTTAAAAATTGTCCAGCTGATTTCTGGCAGCACTAAGATGTCAGTCGTATGGGACATGCAGGCATTGGACCATCTGACTTCCGAGCGCTCTCGATTGGACGCTGGATACGGAACGCAGTGTTGGACGCTGGACGCTTCCCCTTTTGGTTCGGGGCATTTCGAGAAGAAAACACACGATTCGATTGTTAAAAATTTCGTGATTACCAGCGCTTAAAACCGCCCGCCAAATAGCACCCAACCAAACAAACCCTAGAATACGACGTCCCATCACCACCCACACGCCCTGCTAGCTGACCCCAAATTCAACTACACAGTTATCTTTGAGTTAAGATGTACTTGCACTGTAATATCTTGGGAAACACATGTTGTGTTAGAATCTATCTTCTTGTGTAACCTGCATAGATGTTATAGGTTAGGCTAGAGTTAAGCACCCAAACTCAGTTTGGGTGTACAAACAGGGGTCACCCAGTTTGTAGGTTGGAAACCCAACCTTGGTCCAATTATTGGACCCCAAAGGTTGGGTTGGGTAGAATTATTGGTTCACTCCAATAATGTTGGCCCAACTCCAACTTGGCCAACATTATTGGACCCCACCAATAATCCCCCAACCCAACTTCTTGGTTGGGGTCCAATAATGCTCACCTAGGCTAGGATCCAACCCACTCCCTATGTAAACCCCCAATCTCCTCAATTCAATCATCAACTTCTCTTCAAACTATTGTTCTCACATGGTATAGAGCTCTTAATTCCTAGGCCTACTCTATTAAGTTTTCAAAGGCCACTACAACCCCGGCCTTCTTCCTCATTTTTTTTTCGCGGCCATCTTGCCGCCCTTCCCCTCTCATCAAGCGCTCCCTTCCTCGCAGCCCCGCGGCCTCCCACGCCGCCAAGGCCCGCACCACCCCCCCCCCCCCCCTCTCCCCCCCCCTTCCGCGGCCCCATCGCCGCTTCCGCGCTCGCCTCGTCGCGGTCCCGCCGACCGCTGCCGCCCGCGCCATTCCGCAGCCTCGCCGGCGCCTCCACGGCCTCTCCGACCGCCGCCACTCGCGCCTCTCCGCGGCCTCGACACCGCCTCCGCGCCGACTCCGCCGCGGCTCCACCAGCCGCCGCTGTCCGTGCCGCTCCCTTCCGCGGCCTCGTCGCCGCCTCCGCGCCGACTCCGCCGCGGCCTCGCCAGCCGCTGCCGTCCGCGCCGCTCCCTCCCGCGGCCTCGTCGCCGCCTCCGCGCCGACTCCGCCGCGGCCTCGCCAGCCGCTGCCGTCCGCGCCGCTCCCTCCCGCGGCCTCGACGCCGCCTCCGCGCCGACACCGCCGCGGCCTCGCCAGCCGCTGCCGTCCGCGCCGCTCCCTCCCGCGGCCTCGTCGCCGCCTCCGCGCCGACTCCGCCGCGGCCTCCGCCGCTGCCGTCCGCGCCGCTCCCTTCCGCGGCCTCGTCGCCGCCTCCGCGCCGACACCGCCGCGGCCTCGCCAGCCGCTGCCGTCCGCGCCGCTCCCTCCCGCGGCCTCGTCGCCGCCTCCGCGCGCCGACTCCGCCGCGGCCTCCGCCGCTGCCGTCCGCGCTGCTCCCTTCCGCGGCCTCGTCGCCGCCTCCGCGCCGACTCCGCCGCGGCCTCGCCAGCCGCTGCCGTCCGCACCGCTCCCTCCCGCGGCCTCGTCGCCGCCTCCGCGCCGACTCCGCCGCGGCCTCAGCCGCTGCCGTCCGCGCCGCTCCCTTCCGCGGCCTCGTCGCCGCCTCCGCGCCGACTCCGCCGCGGCCTCGCCAGCCGCTGCCGTCCGCGCCGCTCCCTCCCGCGGCCTCGTCGCCGCCTCACCTCCCCGCGTGACCACTGCAGGCCCACCCGCAGCCGCCTCCATGGCTACCGCCACACCCTCCCCCGTCCCCCTCCCTCCACCTATTGACACCTCCTCCGTCGATAAGCTGCAGCTCGCCGCAGACAAATCCGCCATTAATTGGCACTCCTTCGTCGGCAGCATCCGACGGGTCCTCTCCGACGCGTGGGTTCCCCCCTACCGTGTCCTTGATGTCCTCCTCCGCCGTCCCCATGCACTCCCCCCCACCGAACCTGACCACCCGGGCGAGACTCCCCCTCTCCCTCCCTCTCCCGGCGATCCTCCTCTTGAACCCGACCTCCAACTCACCGCCGACCAAGCCACGGCCGATACAGACTTCATCCTACGCCGCCGTGCGTACCTTATCAAGAAAGCAGAGTACGATGCAGCAGTCGAAGCCTATGACCAGGCAGTTACCGGCCGCAACGCTCACCTCGCCGTCGTCGCCAAATACCAAGCCGACATGGCCACCTACACCCCGAAACTTATCGCCTGGACAACTGCTGACACTCGTGCCTACACCATTCTCCTTGGGGCTCTCCCTGACTCTCTCATGCGCCGCTTCCAGGCTCGAGAGCTCCGGGCCTCGGTCATCTGGGCAGAGCTCCATGCGATGTTCGAACGCCGCGACATCAGCTCGGTCGGCATTCTGTTTCAAGAATACTTCTCAATCACCCTTGCTACCTGTGACGGAGCGGTCGACTACATCGGCCGCATGCGGGAGGTAGCTGACCGCCTCGAAGCCCGCCAAGCCGGCCTCTCCGAACCCCTCCAAATCCATCGCCTCCTGTTTAACCTCACTCCCGACTATGAATCCCGCCTTCACGCCTTTACTGAAGCCAATCCCATGGCTGACCTCGCCTCCGTTGAACAGTGGATCATAGACACCGAAGTCAAACTTCGCACCCCCGTCGTCAACCTCGCCTCCTCCCAACCCTCCTCCTCCTCCCTCAACGCTACTCAGCCCCGCAAGCAGGGCAAGCACAACGGCAAGGGGGGCGGTGGAGGCAAGGGAGGTAGCGGTCCCGGCGGCAGCAGCGCGAGCAGACGTGGCGGTACCACTGGGGATGAGCACGGCACCACCACCACAGGCGGAGCTCCTGCAAGCAGCGGCGGTCGCCCCGGTACTCTTCCGCCCTGCACCTATGTTCGCCGCTATGGCCCCCGGGCTGGAACACCCTGCGGACAGACCAACCATCCCCCTGCCACCTGCTTCAAGGCCCTCGATGATGCTTGGTACGCACGAGGTAACGTTGGCAATCCTCCAAAGTGGGGAACGATCTCCCCACGTCCCTCCCCCACCGACATCCAAACCAACCCCGCTTACCTCCCTGCCCACCTCCGCCTCCTTGCTCCCCCCACACCTTTTCTCAACCTCCAGCAGCAGCACCTCCTACAGCAGCAGCAGCAGCAGCAGCAGCAGCACCACCAGCAGCTACAGCAGCTGTTTTATCCACAGCCGCAGCAGCAGCAGCAGCCGCAGCCGCAGCAGCACCCATGGGGATCAGGACCCCAGCCCCAGTGGGGACCTAGCCCTCCTCCCTGGCAGCAGCAGCAGCTAAACTTCGGCACCGCAGCCATGGCCGCTCAGGCCTCACCGGCTCCCCTTTGGGGTACTCCACCCCCCCCCTGTGGCACT